CTCTCTCTCTCTCTCTCTCTCTCTCTCTCTCTCTCTCTCTCTCTCTCTCTCTCTCTCTCTCTCTCTCTCTCTCTCTCTCTCTCTCGTCGAACCGAGTCGCATCGAACCGAGCGGGAAACAACACGTATCGTCGAACCGAGTCGCATCGAACCGAGTCGCGTCGAAACAGCAAAGTCATCAAAACATCCAGCACGTAAATACAAAAAGCAGGACCCATGACAACCGTCAGGATCGTCGACGGGACTTACGTTGGACGACCCGATAGAAGTTTCGGGAATCGCCTGACACGGACCCCGAAACTCTATCGGGCCGTCCAACGCAAGCTCGCTCGCGGCCTGAAAGACACACGCGGTATCTATTGGGCCCGCCTGCCGGTCCCGCCGCGTTTCCCAACAGTGGTGAGCGGCCTCTCGCGGGAGCGTTATGCGAGGACCGCTATTTGCTTAAAGAGTGTTAAGGATATCTCCTGTTGGAGATGTATACTGGATGGCAGATTATCTAATGATTGCCACTGTGAACAGTTATCGGAATCCCCCCTCCCCGTGTATCCTTCTCGAGTCGTCACTTTGTGTCAACGTCCTGAGCATCTGGTTGAGCAGCGTGTCTGAAGGTGTGCAATCCGGCCCACCCCTGTGCCCCAAGTCAACGCCGAACCTGCCAGCCCCTGCAAATTATTTACCCTCGCATGCAACGAGCCTTACATCCGTTTTGATCTGGCTGATCAGGAGGCATTTAAGGAGATCCCCCGTAACTCCTAAGGAATTATTTAATGTCGTAGACAGGACGACGATCACAGCCAGAGTCAACACCGAGTCGCCGCCAGAAATATTTAAAAACGGTCTGGTAAGCGTCTGTTCAAAGGGCTGGCATGCCCTGCATGACCTCTATTGCGCAAGCAGCAGAACCAAGGACTTGCGGCAAAGCATGCGTGTACTAGTCCCAGCGGGTTGGCATGGTGACCGTGACCCAAGTGCTTAGTTCAGGGCCCTTCAGAGGCTTCCCCCATCTCCCACCAGCTTGCTGCCCAGGAAGAATGTCGACTCTCAAGGTTGAGCGCTCGCGACACCTCACATCGAGAGGACTCTCAAGACAAGACTCACTTCCTCACGGTAAGAAGTGATGAAGAGGGTAGATAAGGAAGAGAGCAACGTACCTCATAATGCTGCCCCCAAGCACAGATTTCTCACCGGCAACCTGATGTGCACTTATGATGACCGGTCTTTGCCTCGGCACAACCAACAGCAGAATGCAGTTCCACCTTGGCTTAATATGCCACATCAGCGAGCTCTCATCATCCAGCATACACCACGTATGTCACCACATAGCTCCCTGGCGCGCCCACACGACCCTGGGCCGCCTTATGTTCAACGCCCAAGCGTTATCACTGCCCCAAACCTCATGCGAAGCACCGAACAGCTATTGCGAAGAACCAATGAAGCGCAATATGAACCAGCTCCGATACCAAATTGCAAGGAAAATAAGCAACAGTGAGACGACAAATCCAGATCACACCATCACATTGAAAGCCAGATAGTCACACTGTGTCCAGAGAGCAGCATTGCACCAATAATACACCAATGGAGGTTTGTAGTACCGAAAACCAATGTCAAGGAGAGCAGTCCCTCTCCGCCAACAACACAAGAGTCCAGTCCCTTCACAATCCTACTTGGCGCTCAGCGCCCAGCCTACTCCTACACAGCTACGATCAGCCTACTAATAGACAATGCAACTGTTGACATCAGCGGCAACCCGAAGTACTTGAACATGTCGCCCAAATGCAGACCATCGCCAATACAAGGTATGTGCCCTCACATCATCATCATCATCATCCTTCGCCCTTCCCTGACTTTACACCCACGCATGTCCTCCCTTACACCCGAAGACCACTCATGCGCCTCACTGTAGTCCAAGCCCACCAGCTATGGCGGCTGGGCTATGGCGCTGCCCTCAGCAGCGCCCTGCTTCCCTGCACGACCGCACGTGCTGCACCTCGCCTCTCAGCGCCAGCAGCAGCCCACGAGCATTTGCTCCAGCAGCGCTGCCGCTAGCATGTGAGTGCCTGAATGAGGCTGAAAGTGGCGAACTCTTTCCTATATGGAAAGAGTCTGCCTGCTTCGCAGCCTGGCAGGACTTGGCCTGGGCCCAGAAGCTTCAAGTAGGGCCCAGGATGTTGCGTGCTACTTCGCAGCTACTGGGCCTCTGTTGGTTGGGCCTCCCAACTGTCAGTGTATGGGGCTGCATTTCTCGTCCAGGGCCTGCACGCCTTGGAAAGGCCCAGGAGGCCGTGGAAATGTCTTGGTTGCTCGGCCTGTGTTTCTCTCAACCAACTGGCGCGTCGCAACTGCCTGTACCCCAAATATGAAATTGACAGTCAAAGGCCTCTTGTGAAATGTTAGGCCCGCCTTCACTTAGGGCGGGCACCACGGTAACCGGGGCCCCTTAGGCCTGCCGAGGACCCAGATCCTCGCAATCGGGCCACACTGAAAAAAAAAAAAAAAAAAAAAAAGTTCGGTTTTGTCACTTTTGTGAGACAAACAGAAAATAAATATTCTCAGATTACGGGGCTGACTGGCCTCAAGCCCTCACACTCAGGCAGAGCCTCGCCCTTGTAAGAAGCAAAAGAAAAACTTGACAAAATTTGTAAGAATCCCGGAGATAATCTCCAAAACGAACCCTATCTACCGTAGCAATGCACTGCATGCAAAGATTTCAGGAATACAATTTTAAGTACTCTTCGCTCGACTACTCAACATTGTGCATGCATTTGGATGCTTTCTGGATCAGGTGCACTCTGACATGTCCGGATAACTATGAGCTCCAGATACATATGGAGTGTTGAGTAGTGGAGCGAGCTCAAAAGTAGCGGTGGTCTAAACCACTATTCCAGAGAGAATCCCAAAGGCATGGAGGAGGCTTGGTGGGGTGGGGCTGGCTGGCCAACAATTGAAAGATAGTGCCACTGTGTGACACGGCACGTTACATAGAGCTGTGCCCCACTAGGCAACACTCTGCAAACTTTGGGATGCTCTCTGGAGTGTTGGAACCATGATTCCCACCTGCCTGCGGCCTGACTCTCCCTAACTGTGTGCCTGCCTACCTGCTTGCCTTTCCGTCTGTCTGTCTGTCTGTCTGTTTGATAAGTTTAATATTTGATCCTTAAACAGAAGAGAAAAAGAAGAAGGGTCTGAGCACGGTTTACGTAGAAGTTAAAGGGATCTATGAGTTTGACATTTTGAAGCTTGAAAAGGGTCTGTGGATTCTATATTTGAAACAGAAAGGCACTAGGTGGCCAACGTGTTTTATATTTCAATGTTGAGAGGCTTCTGTCTGTCTGTCTATCTGTCTGTCTGTCTGTCTGTCTGTCTGTCTATCTGTCTGTCTGTCTGTCTGTCTGTCTGTCTGTCTGTCTGTCCGCCAATTGGCAGTGGTAGCTCCTCCTGTAGCAGCTCATGTCCATTGTTGGGAGATCTCTGCAGTGCGAGAATTCAAGTCCATTGTTGGAGCTGTACCTGCAGTGCGAGAATATCCTAATGTCCGATCTAAGAGACCGGGTACATACAGTGAGATTAGCAGAAACGCCAAGTGCCAAGCTGAAAACAAAATGGACTCGGAGAAAAATATTTTTCCTTGCAGGCCTCTACTGCATGGTCTTTTAGAATTTTAGAATAATTATTATTTGAAGAGAGAAAACCGGCAGACTATTTCAGCTATATTGGCCGGTTAGAAATTATTTTTTCAGAAAACGAATTTAATTTGATATATTTGCAAACTGTACAATTCTTCAAGTCCAGCTTTCACGAATAGCTTGTTCGACAATTACATCCACAGCTGAGTAGAAAAGGACCTTGATTGAGTATCCCCTGAGTTGGCCATGTGGATCGAGGAGAGATTGGAGACGATGGGAGAAAGCAGCGAAGCTTCACATAAAATTTCCCCTCCATAGATTCAATTTGTCATCTAGATCGAGGAGAAGAGGAAGGGTATCAGGCATGAACTTGCGTGCAAATAGGATACAGGCCCCCTGGTCTTTATTCCATGCAGAGCAATTGCCAGCTCGAATCGTCTTCATGATAAGCTCCTCGTTCACCTCTGTCGTGTTGTATGGCCTTGGATGCGCACCGTCGCCTGGCCTCCAAGAGACGTGAAAAATTGTATCGTGTGCAATATTTGTGGGGTCAAGCACGTTCAACATAGTATGGATGTAGTGCTCATCTGGAAAACACCATTCATGCTGCACAAAAATTGTGTCGTAACACCAGAGCTGGAACTTATAAAAGTAGTACCGGTCCGTAACGACAATCTGAGCATGATGACGAGTCAGCGATATCCACTGTGGTCCCTTTTGAAATACTCCAAACGGAACCTCCGGCATCAAGACCGGTCGATAACGATAAGGCACAGTCCAGTCTTCCTGCTTGTCCCAGCCGAAGCTAACATTGGCAGAGAACAAGAACCGGTAAACAGTGGGAAAATCAACAACAGGTATGCAGGCCTCGGAAATGATGATGAAGCGGTCATTATACGGGTCCAGTAAGGCAGAGGCAAACAACCTCCTTTCAGCGTCCATCATCGACATAGATCCAATCGCCACCGGCTCGCTATGGATGAGCTTGTTGGCAAACAACCGAGTTTCGCTGCTGTTAAGAGAAGTATTGTAATGGAAATCCGGATGGGCATGGACATATATCGTGTAGAATTGCTCATGCCCCTGGAAAAAACGCTCCCAGATCGGAGCAAATGGCATAGGCCCACGGGTGAGAAACAGAAAGGCGATGAGCCGTTCCTGACCCTGCGGACGACACCTTCGTCCCGCGGCATTCACTAGCTGCTGCTCAACACTCTTAAACATCTCAACGTCGGGGACGGACAAACTAAGATTTTCCCATGGTGGAGCAATTGCCAAGTTTGTGATGTTGTAGATCTGCAAATCCTCCACTTCGAGGGTACAGTTTGTCTTATCCGTTGTCACCATCATGGGAGCATCACCACTAGCCGCTAGCCCCATCATCAATCCACCCGACAATGTAGGTTGCAAGTCAGAAGGTCTGCCAGAATGTCGTTGTCCACTTTGCGGTGGTGCGTTTGAGGAAGAAGCTGGGGCCTCTTCATTAGAGTGAGTTTTCAGTGCGTTGCCAAGCGACACCACATGCGATGACAGGAGATCACTCGCAAGATTCTTGCCCTGATTCTCTGTAGAATCATTGCCGAAGTTTGCTGCGCTCCGACTGGAATCGTTGGCGGAGTGCTCCTGTCGCAGGTTGACACTAGCACTATCCCCCATGGAGAGTTGGAATATGCGCCCTAAGTCAATCCAACAGGCGCACATGCTCAGTCCCACAGTGAAGATGCAAAAAACCAGCACCTTGGTCAATTTGGCATTACCTTTCCATGAGAAACTGGATCCATCTCCCGGCCAGCATGAAAGAGAAGGATAGACAGTGGTGTCACTGGTGTGGCAATTTCCCAAAAGATGTCCCATCCTTACGTGCAGTAATCCTCACCAGATGAAGAGTCCGCCCCCTGCTCAAGAAGTCTCTCCCTTGCTCGAAAAAGCTAATAGACCCCGACTTAAAAAGTAGTGCAACAGCTCCGGTAGTGAAGATTCACAGTTAAGAAGTCACAAACCCATGTTCATTATTCTTGATGGGCAGTCCTCGAACAGACTCTGCCTCTCCTTCACGGCGCAACAGCCCTCCACATTTACAACCTGCCAACTGCAGGCAACATCAACAGTATTCGTCACGTAAATAGCTGCTGTCATGGCTAGCACAAACCTGCAAAGGAAGTGTCACCCACACACAAAACCCACAAGCACGAAAAGGGGGAACGGGGGGTGGGTGGGCCCAGAGAGGTGGGTGGACCCGGAGAAGACAGTAGTATCTTAGACAGTGAAAAGTTTGGCTGACGAGTCGTTCCATCCCAAATTGGGTGAAGACGATAGTACCTATTGTCAAGACATTGGGATAGCCCCTCACCGCCTCCATGCCACACCCAGACCACCCCTGTCGTATTCCCTGTCAAAATTTATTCTTTTGGTCATCTGGTTCTGTTCATCTGTCAGTGATTGAATCTGGATCCGAACTTGGGTCTGTATTTCAATTGTTCAGGGGTGTACGAACTGAACCAGGCCCGTGGGTACCCGTACGTATTCCTGACTGATGGCTTTTTGTTTTTCTTTTTCCTTCTGCAATAAACCGCAAAATTGCAGACTGAAATTTCTTCTTTCTTTTTCAGTTTTGCAGCTGTTCCGTGTGCTTGCTGAGAGTACTGATGTCTGAGTCTGGATCACACATGCTGTTATCTGTGGGCTGTGTGCGAGTCTGAGTTCTGAGTGTTCGTGTGACCAGGTGTGATGGCCTGCATCATTGGTTTGCCCCCTTGGGCCCGGTACTAACCCAGGATGCTGTGAATGTAGCATGTGCAGCGGGTAGTGGATTGGGGTAGGCAGGCCAGAGATGGACTAGAACAAGCAGCACCAGACAAGTAGGTAGATGAAGACGAAACAGAACTTTTGGTAGGGCCAGGAAATTCCTTACTACCGGTAGGCCTAGGGGAAGAATCACGAAGGTACCGGAAGCATATTGTCCGGGAATGTGTCTAGGTCCAAGTCCTGGAGGTAGGGTGGCAGTCTGCAGGAGTTTTCCTGCCAAAAAGGGAGGAACAGGTAGGGCCTATGTGACACCTGCGGCCTAGGCCGCGGGCAATTCGGCCGCCGCGGCCGAAAAAGTCGGCCGCAGCCGCGGCCGCCAGGCCTCGTTTGCGGCCCGATATTTTGGATATTGTTTGGGGGGTCGAAAAATAAGTGAATATATATATATATATAGGGTTCAGCCTCCTGATGAGTCGGTGAAACTCCGACGAAACAGTTTGTCACAGCCCCTCGTTTGTTGTCCTCTTCTCTCTCTCTGCCTACGGTTTACCGGGCAGTTCTATTTGTGACGATATATATATATATATATATGGGGTTGAGGGTTCAGCCTCCTGATGAGTCGGTGAAACTCCGACGAAACAGTTTGTCACAGCCCCTCCTTTGTTGTCCTCTTCTCCCTCTCTGCCTACGGTTTACTGGGCAGTTCTATTTGACGATATATATGTATGGGGTTGTTGACTTCATAGGGTAGACCGGGAAAAAGTGAGAATGGGAAGTGGGAAAGACCGGCACACGCGCAAGAAGATCGTTGACGAAGCGCGCGCCGAAAAGGAAGTGAGTAGCGGAATGGAGGAAGATAAGAACGAGTGTGCTGGAGAGAGATGGAGAAGAGCGCATACTGAGAAATGAAAAAAATAACAAAAAAAACAAAATGATCGCAGATATGCGCACATGAATGAAGTGAGCGTTCGTGCAGCATAGGAAGGAGGAAGACGAGCGAAGCGTGAGGAGGGAAACGAACGCGAGTAGGGAGAAGATGACAAGCACTCGAAGGAAAGATGAAGATCGTGCAGTGGCGAAAGAGGGGCACTGGGCAGAAGGAAAAAACAATAGCATAAGGGCAACTAGCGCGCATGTGATCTAGTGGGAGAGAGAAAATGTGTGGTGCAGGGAAGAGAGTGTGAGTGAGCGTGACAAGGGCGCGAGGACGCTGAGGAGGGGGCAATGAAGGACACACTGAAGAAGAAGAACCCGTAAAGAAAGAGACAAGGAATGCCTGGTCAATGCGAATACGGGCGGGCCGAAGAAAAATAAGCGCACAGGCGAACAGACAAGGAACGCGCGTAGGAGGGAAGAAGGAGACGAGCGTGTTCAACTTGAAGCAAGGGAGAAGATGAAGAGTGATTGTGGAAGGGAGAATGAGAAGAAAAGTGCATGGGCAGTAGAGGAGGAAGACCACGAGGGCAATGTACACGGAAGGACAAAACACAGGTGGGTTGGAAGGACTAACGAGCGGGCACACACACAAAAAAAAAAGAAGGAAAAAAAAAGGGGTGGCAGACTGGCAGTGTATATTTCTATGTTCTAGTGGAAGATTCATTCGATTTTGCTCATCCTATCGATGGAAGTAGCGTGGGCCAGCCGTGGGTTTGGAGACTTACCTGTTGGCCGGTGCATTTCTCGTCCTATCGATGGAAAACTCTCTCTCTCTCTCTCTCTCTCTCTCTCTCTCTCTCTCTCTCTCTCTCTCTCTCTCTCTCTCTCTCTCTC